TTAATTAAAGCATCCAAAGCCAATTAAAGCACCTGAAGCCAGTCACATGATAAAAATCCCCTGCTTCAATCAGACAAGTGGAGGAGTTGAGGCAGAGTGGATTGGTGTTGGAGCAGAGAGCAGTTTGGAGGGAAGCAGAGGAGCGTTTGGAGAACTGCTGCAGTGGGCTAAGAAGACCAAGACCCTAGGTAAAGGGACACCTGGTTTGTGCAGAGGGAGGGCAGGAAGCCCCACAAGCTGAAGGGCAGGAGAGGGAAGTAGCCCAGGGGAAGGAACCACTAGTACTAGTGGTTTACTGCTATCCCTAGGGTCCCTGAGCTGGGACCCGGAGTAGAGGGAGGGCCTGGGTCCCTCCCTCTCCACTCCCCTCCTCTAGGACACTAGTGGGGCAGTTAATACTCCAGTTCAGGGGCAAGAAACGATGCCCTGAACCCCCCTCTCTCTCCAAGAAGAGAAAGCGCGAGACCCATCATAGTAGTGCTGGCAATCTGCCACATTTCACAGAGATCTAAAAATTGGTAGACCGAGAAGGAAGAAAACTACTATGAATTTCAGATTGTGAAGTGTGCCATACCTTTTATCTATGCTCAGAAATAATACAAGAAAAAATTAAAATCTTGTCAAGTCTAGGATAAATTATTAATGTGGAACTAAAGGTTTTAACTTTCGTTGAACAGGCAGAACCCATTAAAATCAGTTGTAAATTTTTAGGAATTTAATTATAATTTTATGTTGTAGGTCTGCGAAGAGCACTATGGACTAATTTCATTGTTATGAGATTTTCCTGGTAGACATGAATTCAAATGAAACAGTCACTAACTCTGCAATAAAGCAATGCACTGAGCCATAGAATAAACAAAACAGATCAAGCAAATAAAAATGAACTTTTATATTGGGCTTGAAGTTACACAAAAAGAGTGAGTTGGGCCTGTTGGGGGCCTTGTATATCTTCCCTTGTCGTCATTTAGATTGCAAGATCGTCAGACCAGAGACGTGTCTCTTGATATGCCTGGGATGTGCCCAGCATGCTTGTGGGTAGTATAAAAGATCTTTCAATCTCTATTTTATATACTTGTATGGTCAAATCTAGGCTCACTGCAGCATTTGCAGTTCGATTAGATCTTTGCTGAGGAAAAGAGGGAAGGGACAAGAGACCCTTTTCTCTTAGGGTGAAATTCATTATCCCCTATATAAATCCCAAGCAAATCTGTGTGGAAAAATTTACCGGTACAGGTGGAAGAAAATAGATTCTCAAATGCTATTACTGCCCCTATGCACCTCCTCCAAAGAGATTGGGGGTAAGTGGATATATATTAGTGCAGATCCTGAAAATTCTCCTGCATGTAACTGCGGCTGAGTGAAACTCATTTCTCAACAGGCAGAGGGTGAGGAGGCCTCTCTATAAACTAAACACAATCCCGGTCCCACATATCGTTGGGCCCGAGTTGCACAGGTAGCCTTCCATGCTGGTGTAAATCCATGCAGAACTATTCAACAAAGATATTTTTCATAGATCTTTGCTGTGCTCCATCCACTGAAGGAGAAGGCCTAAGCATTCTTTATCATCCTTATAGAAGGTAGGTATTTAACCCACAGAAAATAGTTCCCCTGTCCCATGAGTATTAGATTTCGGCCCTGGTCCCAACAAAGGAGGATTGGAGAGTTTGGCAGGGAATGAAAGGCAATAGTGCAGGATTCTAGGAAGGGGCTGCAGACTGGAAGGTTGAAGGCTAGTCTGGTTGTCAGGGCAGGGTGCATCAGCATATTGGCTAGGGGAGATGCACAGACTTCACACACATTATCACCCTTTGCCCACAGGGTAAGATGAAAAAATTTGTAACATCATAACCATCAGGTTGTCAGAGTTCAAATAAATTTTTCTGACATACCAAGCAATTGTCCTGCTCTAGACACTGTCAAATGAAATTCTGCATGTAATATTTAGGAAAGACCTTCGAGAATGACTTCTGTTAACTGTTCGTGGATCTGTCAAAATTAAAAATAAACACTATTTCTAGCTTCAAAACTTCTATAGTGAAACTAATCAAATAACTTGTTGGATTTTCTTAAGAGTTTCTGGTGATCAAATTCACTTGCTCTGAAGAATCATGTGGTACAAAGACCTGAAAAAATGCTTCTGCTTGTATGTGACGCTTTTGGATGATCAGCATACGCTGTGGTTAATAAGCTGTCTTGCAGTACTTCTCCTCAAACTTCATCTTTCATCTGTGTTTAAGAAGTTGGAGATTGATGGTCTTTTTTAAAATTTAAAATGAAATGAAATCACTTGAACTTTTAAAATTAAGCAGCCACCAGTCCAACACACAGTACTTCTAACTGGGAATGATCTGTGCTGCAAACACTTAAACATTTGAAATTCCTTCCACCTGTCACTAGCTTATCAAAAGATCAGATAAACTGACTGTAAAGCACATCCTTTTCCTGGATTTTAAAAAATCATGTATAAAGCCACAATATACATGAAATATCCTCTACATTTAAAACTATTAGCAACTGCCAAACACTGGACCTAAGCTGCAGATAATGTTAAAGGAAAGGGCCACATGATGTGAGTATTTTGCGTGACTTCATCTCTTTTTCCATGCTGTCTCTTGTAAATCACATGCACACAAATTGCACTTCAGGGAGATGAGACATTTGGGGATAGAAGGCTGAGTGGATGAGTGGATTTTTTTTTTTTAAACACCTTGCCAAAGCAGTACCTCAGTAGCTTGGGATAAGTCACCTAGGCCTGGCTCCACAAAAGGACTTAGGTGTTGCAATGCCTAACTTCTAGGCACTTAGGAAATCACAGGAACAACCCACTGCAATCCACAACACCTGACTCAGGTGTGTAGGCGCCTATATAATGCAAGGGGGAGAGAGAGGTGTCTAAGTCAGTGATCCACAAAAATCAGCATGGGAGGCCAGGAGCTTCCTAAGCCAGCCAACGGGAGAGGCAAACACCCCTCTTTATGGGTAAACCCTGCCTCGATGCACATGTTGTAGCTCAGTGGCTAGAACAGTCTCCTCAGAGATGGGAGATCCTAGTTCAAATCTTTTCCCCCACTCAGGCAGAGGAGAGAATTGAACCCGGGTTTTCCCACATCCCAAGTGGGTGCTCTAATCACTAGACTAAAAGTTATCAGGAAGGTAGCACCTCTACCTCTGGCCAGATTTTGGATGGGACGTGATGCAGTAGGCAAACTCTGAGCTCACCCACTGGACTGGATCCCGCACACGAGATAGGGATGCACACACTTATTTTCCTCTTATTCATCAGTTTGCTCTGTGGCTTAGGTGGGAGATAGATGCTTCAGCACTCAGAGGGAGGCAGCAGTGTGCCTGCTCAGATGCAGAAGTTTATGCACCCAGGGAATTTCTAGCCTGAAAATTTAGGCACTTAGTGAATGTAGTGCCTACAGGGTTCGATGTAAGCTTTATAGATCACAGTGGTACCTAAACCCCTAAACTCAGGTGCCTAAGTACCTTTGTGGCCATGGGACTGTCCCTATAAAATCGGGACATCTGGTCACCCTACTCACAAGAGAAAGCACTATGTTTGAGTCTTTAATTCAGAGCCACAGAGTTTTTTTTTTTTTTTTCAAATAAACTAGTTTTCTTACAAGCCTGAAGCCAGCTAGCTTTGCAGAAGTTTCCAGATTTTGCAGGAAGCCTGTACTGCATTGTGGTTTCAGAGGAAAGCCATGATACCTTTTGCATGGTTTCACCTTGAACTTTGCCTCCCCCTGTTTCCAGAGTTTTATTCTGGTTTTTGAATCATTCAGAGCTAAAACTCTAAGACAGACTTGCAGAGTGAAGATCCCCAGAAACTGCTTGCACATAATGCTGTAAATGAAAACCGCTGGGTCTTGTACACATCTTGTGGAACTGAGCAGCTGTGACAATTAAATGTGTTGATAGTTGTTCAAGAAAAAATGTAACTTTTTTTTGGACACTTAGTAACTATTTTGATCCCAGAAACAGTGTTAGGGTATCAGCTGCTGCCTGACACAATCATGCACTTTTCAAAATTTCCCTTCTTAAAATAAAAATGTTGATCAATGCAGTTTAAATTTAGGCTTCTGAGTCCAACTTAATATCTGTCACCATTCCTCCCTTTCTAGTACCTCACAAATGTCCCTTAATGGTGGCTTTGCATGAAAGTGTTACAGAGGGACCTGGAGGTGAACAGCCAGTCCCCTACTCCGATAGGAGGCTGCTAATCTCATGGGTATGCGAGTGGAAGCTGATTTTTCTTAAAATGGTGTCTCCTCTTTAGCTGCAATTGAGCAACTTGCAGGAGGATGACCAAACACAGGTTCTGCTGGAGAAGTCCTGCTTCAGGGAAAAGAGAAGAGAGCCAGCAGAGTTATCATTGCAAGCAACTCCTACTCCCACATCATGCTGACTAATTCAGTGTTAAATATTGTTCAGCACTCCTTGTAAACCAGGGCTGCTGTGTCTTAACAGGTTATCTGGCTGCGGTGAACTCTATGGCCAGTTAACCACAACCAGAGATAGTGTGGAACAGGACAGTCCTTGTCTCAGTCATACTTAACCAGTGTTCTAACACCATCTTTTCCTCTACACTTGAAAGGAAATATGACCCAACATTCTTACAGAAGCGGACACGTTCATGCCATGACCGAGGTTAATTGTGAAATTCTCTGATTCATCTTCTTCCCTCTTCCTAACTTGTTTTTCAAGAGGGTAAGAACTTGCCAAATTGCCAAGTTTTTTGCTTTAAAATGTATTGTGGTGTTGGAACTGTTCAAGCTGCTAATACATACACATAACAAAATATTATCCCATTTATAACTTCATGACAGAACTATTTATCAAGAACTCTGCAGCACAGTCTAGTGCCTTGAGTACAGCTGTTTGGAAGGTATGCCAGTTGAAGGAAGCTTTTAAAGAGTAATTTCACATGAAGGCTAAAAAGTAGTGGTTCAACTTACTTTTGCCAGCTCTACTGAATTCATAGGATATAACATAACTTCAAGTGTTTTAAATGATTTATTCAGATTAGGCAATTTTCTCAACACTTTTTTTGGTTTAATATAATATATATAGTTTCAAAAACATTTCAGCTTTGAGGTAAAGTACTTTAAAGGAAAAACAAGAACACTTTTAAAAATAAAAGCAAAAGATCAGTAAAATTTTTAGGCAGGATAAACAGAAAAATATTCCCTCCTCACTTCAATGCTAATGATTCCAACACCAATACAATTCAAACAGCAAAGTAATCCAGTCAGAGTCCAAGTTCCTTCCTAAGGCAAAATTCTCTGATTCCAGAGGCAATTTTGCCCAAGTAAGGATTTCAGGATTAGGCCCATAATAATAAACCAAGAAACTGCTCAGGGCAGCTCTTCCCCTGCCATTGTACCCCACACCCCCACTCCCATATGGTGGAAATAAAAAGAAGCCTTACATTGTCTCTTCCTGCTCTGTGGAGGTAGATAATGCATTCACCATTGCATTATCCCATCTCTTACCTGCAGGGTTTCCCCATGTCAAATAATGCTCACCTTGCCAGCATTATGTTTTAAGCAAGTTCTTATCCACACATAAGAAAGACACCTCAAGAGAATTCTTGGGAGTGCTCCCAGTGGGAGAACATCTATGCTGACAAAGACGACAGCTAGGATTCAGGAGTGTATTCTCGAGATACGAGGTACCTGACGGGATATCTTGGGACAACTGCATGTTTAGAGGGCTAAGTCCATTCCCATACAGCAAGATGGGGAGAGAGAGCATACAACCTCCAGCATGATGATTTCAAGGGAACTCTGATTTAAAATTTGGCATTTCCTAGCCTTTGTGGGGTCTCCTTGTGCAAGAGATTTCACCCTCTGTTTACATGTTATAGTGAGAGATTGCAAGACTTCATTACTCTAAGGTATTTTTTACAGTTGCAAGGATATGATTCGGGAATGACAGGCAATAGAGGTTATCGTTTTTAAGACATTATGAAGGAAGTTAATCGGAGTCTTCATCATCGAGGTATTCCTCTGCGTTACTTAATGTCCGCACTGTATCTGAAAATAAAACAATTCTACTTTAGCCAGGGACAGAATCAGGCATAAAAACACAAAACTTTTAATAGTTTAAATTTGTAGTGCTGTGGGCAAACACATGTGAGCAACTCTTAACACTACATTAAGAGTTTTTTTTTTTTTTTTGGGGGGGGGGGGGATTTCTTAGGGTTTAAGATATTTGTAGGTGAGGAGCTAGCCAGGAGCTGGTCAAATGGTCACCTTTTCTACACATGAACCTTTGCATATGTCTTTTGGAGAAAGTTCAGTTGATGAGACACTGGCATGCCTGCTGCTCAGTTCTCTTCATGTGAAGCTCCAGGAGCCTGGCTGCCTGAAAAGCTTGCACACCAGAAGAAAGTTGGACACAATTTAAACCTCTCTAATGGGAAAGTTTTAAACACAGAATATCTGATTGGTGAACTAGAAGAAGTTTCCCTAGCTCATTCTGAAGGCTCTAAGTCAGTCTTCATCCTCTACTTTAACTCCCATGCAGACATCTCCTGTCTCTTCTCCTGTCATCCACTGTCCCTTGTTCTCTTCCCCACCTGGTTGTCTTCTTGTTGACTACGTGTTAGTTTTTAGACATGGACTTATACTTTCAAAAACTGCATGTATAAAACACATCTAAACCTTGTGCTTCTGGATGGCAAGTAGAAAATTGGATACAGCAGAGAGGGAGGGCATAGGACTAGTGGACACTGGGAAAGTGGTCCTCCTCACCCAGATATGTAGTAATGTCAAGAGAAGAGCATCTGGCTTGTGCTCCTTAAAGAGATGCATAGAAGGGGAATTCTTTTGTTGTTGGACAGGAGTTCCCCTCCTACAGGAGATGAGCCCTGCAAGGAGGTTCTCATTTACATCTCTTCCAGTGAAGGAATGGAAGGCAGTCCTAACCAACTACGGCTTCTGTCTGTTTCCTCAAATATGACTTATCCTGCAGAGTTGTGTTGTACAACCATTCTCCATCAAAAATAACTGATGCATAATCTGTTCTACACTGGTTAATAAAATATATTTGATGATAAATTCTGAAGTTAAGCAGTATTGAAAAAACAATCAATCATCTTAGTAAGCCAGCCCATGTCTTATATTTTGGAGTAATTGAGAAGTCAATTTTAAACTCTGATCTCGGGAACTGTTTTGCTAAAAGGGAGCCCAAAAAGACTTGTTTTTAAAATCTCAGAAAATCCATTTAATATTTAAGAGTGAGGGTAGTAAAGGTGGGGAATATACACCATCTTGCTTAATAAAGGTTTAGTCCCAGCTGTAAGTGCAAATATCCACACAGCCTTATCTATCAAAGGGCTATGGCCCTTCCAGACACTGTTGTACCAAGGTCAGCCTCTGACTTCTCATTCTCAGAAAGGCCCAGCACATTTCTCTCCTATCTTCTTCCCATTCCTTTTTTCTAATTCCCTTCATCGCCTCCTCTTCTCAGGATCTTCTTTCTTTCTGCAGCTCTCTGCCAACCCTTTATCTCCTTTAAATCTACCTTTTTTACAGCCTTCCAATGAAGAATCTCTAATATCCCTTTGCAACCTTATATTTGAATACTTATCCCCAACTGTATTTGTTTACCTGAATTACAATATAAACTTTCTGGGGAAGAGATCATGTCTTGAGTTTAATATTCTAGAGTGCATCACACTTTCCAAACATCAGAATTTCTCAAATATTCTCCTCTCCTTAATCCTCCAAACTTTTAAACACAACTGTTATGATTTGATGTTACTACAGTAGCTTCTGAAAAGTAAACCAACTAAGAGGGTTCCTAATGCTTTAAAAATAAGGTTTATGGAAAGAACAAATCAATTGAATGCAGTGCCATTAAGTACAAACACATTTTTAAAAACATGCACAAATTAAAATATTGTAAAATGAGTTAAAGCAGACCGCAGAAGCTATAAATATGCCACATTCATGCTACAGAGAACATACTGGAAGCAGAACTAAACTTGGATAGTTTGATACTAGGAACAGGAAGAGTCCTAAAATAGTACATAGCAAGTACTGAAATGTAAATTGCAAGGAGTGCAATAGATGCAGATGCATTTGAAAAACAAACATAAGAAGAGGGGAAGAACAGTATCAAATATGAATGGTCAGAGAAATTCAGGGAACAAGAAAAGCACACATGTAGCTGTGACCGTGTTAACAAGAGGGAAGATTATGGAAGATCATTTAAAGGAGAGAAGTGAGCAAGAAGTTAAACACTGATGTTGAAATGAAAACTGCAAACAATATTACAAATTACAAGGTGATAGATTAGGTGGATATTGATGAAAAATGACATGATTTTTGTTTCTCAGTTGTCTAGAAGGAATGAAAGAAATATTCCAGAAATAAAGGTTAGCTTTCTGGAGATGAAAAAGGAAAAATTAATGTAACTAATAGGGACATTAGAACAGAGAAGGATTCAGTAGTAGATGGCTTGAATCCCAGAATTCTGAAAGAGGAAGATAAAAAATACTTCTCATGGAGATTAATTCACCCTAGAAAAATGTATAGGAACCTAGGAAAAACCAGTGTGGCTTCTGTTATAGCTGTTTTTTTCTGAGCCTAAGTTGACAAACGAGATATTCTGATGTTGCAAGAAATTGAATATTATGCTACTACCTCCTAACTTACTTCCATAAAGTACTCAAGGTTAAGGAGTTGTCAGATGTTTCATTAACATTATTTAAGGGTGGTTATAATAGCTCTTCCTTGCCTAGTTAAACTTCCATAAAACTATCCCCCAAACAAAACTGTTGCTAACTTTGAATTAAGATATACTTTCGTCCTATTTCCTTTTCAACTCATTCTCCACCCCTTCAACACTCCATACAGGTTCCCCATCTCACTTCTACTCCCTCCCACAGTCCACCTATCTCATCCCTGATCCTGAACAACTGACTTTAAGCTTTTTAAAACTGCCCTGTATCAGTGTGTGTAGTATGTATAGGTGGAGCTATACCTGTGTTTAAAAAGTTAATCTGTCAGGGGAGTTTCAGAGTAGCAGCCGTGTTAGTCTGTATTCGCAAAAAGAAAAGGAGTACTTGTGGCACCTTAGAGACTAACCAATTTATTTGAGCATGAGCTTTCGTGAGCTACAGCTCACTTCATCGGATATGATGAAGTGAGCTGTAGCTCACGAAAGCTCATGCTCAAATAAATTGGTTAGTCTCTAAAGGTGCCACAAGTACTCCTTTTCTTTTTGTCAGGGGAGTGGCGATATGGGTGGAAAGATTGTGGGAAGATTATATTCTGACACACACTAGAGCACAACTCCCTTTCTCAAGCCAGCAGGAGGCTGGGGAGTATGTGAGGAGAATGGAGTGGGATGGTGTTGATGGGAAAGAGTGGTTTCTGCTTCTGGGATAAGCTGTGGGGATAGAAATAGGCATGAAAACATTTCATATGGCTAACCACATGAGGCACAGAGCAGGGATGAGAACCTTTTTTTCTTTCTGAGGCCCCCACAACATTCTATAAAAACTCCACGGCCCACCAGTACCACAACAACTATTTTTCTCCACAGAACAGCTATGGCTGACACTAAGGGGTAAGAAGCAGGGCAGTTGCCCGGGGGCCCATATCACAAGGAGCACCGCAAAATTAAGTTGCTCAAGCTTCAGCCCCAGGTGCTGGAGCTCAGGGCCCTGGGCTGCAGTCCTGCAAGGTGGGGCTTCAGCTTTCTGCCCTGGGCCCGAGCGAGTCTAACACCAGCCATGCTTGGTGGACACCCTGAAACCAGCTCATCAGAACTCAGCTTCTCGTGGTTCATCAAAATGGAGTTGCTCTGATGAACTCGAGGTCTGTTAGAGCCCTGCTCCCCATGGTTCCAACTGAACAAAGAAGTGAGAAACAAACAATACCTCTCCCTTGTTTCTTTTTAAGCAGAGAAGCACAGGCAGCATTGGTAGCCATATCCAGAGCCAATTTCTTCTCATTGTTTCTTAAATCTGTTCTTGCCCCTTAAAAAAAATAAAGTCCAATTATGTCCAAAAATACTGCCCTAGCAAAACCTTCAGTAACAGTAAAATGAAATCCCTTCTCACACAAGTAGCTTAGTCAGCATAACCAATGGGAAGGGGCAATGGACAGCTCATCTAGGGGTTTATCCAAAGTCAATAGAAAGATACCCAGTGGGCTTAGGATCAGGCTCCTACTTAGGAGCTTTGGAGCTCCCTTGCTGCTTTACTGGGTTTAGGTACCTATTTTTGTCTTCCACAGCAGAGTGAAATTTTACCCTGGATGGGTCAGCCTGTTGCACAGACAACTTCCAGGGTTTGCATGGTTTGCAAATATACGCTGGGCTAGCTAGGAACCATAACGAGATTATAGAAAACAAATTGATAAAATATGCAAATTACAAACTCAGCAGTGATTTACACACAGGAAGCAGATTTGCCACACACAGAGTATTAAAATCTTGGTGAAGATCTTTACCCTTTGCCAGGAGCATCTCTACAATATCTGCATAACCCTTCCAAGCAGCAGCATGCAAAGCTGTATCTCCCAATTTGTTCTGTGGAGTTACAGGGAAAAGCAACAGGATTAAAACACAGCAAAAAATAATCCATTTGCACTAAGAATTAACAATAACAGCACTGTAAATGTCTGAATAAACAGGATAAACTTCCTACCTGTTGATTTAGTTCTACACTTGGCTGGGTAAATAACACTTCCACTATATCTACATAAAATGAAGGGAAAGGAAAAGAAAACTTGATGAAATCAAAACTTGCTTTCTTATATTCCAATTACAGCATTGAAGTCAGGATTGCACAGAGAAAGGATATAAACCCAATTAGTTAGAGAAAATCCATATCATTAAAGCCTGTGAAGACTGCTGAGCAAGCACTACAAATAGATACAGAAGTGAAACATAAATATAAACCTCAGTGACAAACACCATTTTTTTGCTCTTCCTCTCAGCAGTCTGCATTTCGTCTCTCATTTTTTATAATCAGACTGTGATTAAGAATGTCTGTCTGCTTTTAAAATAAAAGGATTTAAAGATGTTCTATTTTTTTTTTAAAATGCATTACATTTGACATATCTGAGCCCTTCTCCGCTGGTTTTTATTTTTATTTTTTTGCTAACCTGAATTACATAAGAGTATAGACTTTGTTACTGATTATAGCCGATTAAGTAGTAAGTGGTCCATTAGCCCAGCAAATAGAAAAAAATAGAACATAATCAGTAGAGTTGATTGAGTGCTATACTGTACCTTTGTGCCCACCATGGCAAGCCCAGTACAGAGCTGTGCTTCCAGCTTTGTCTAAACCATTGACACCAACTTGGTTATCTAAGCACTCTCTCAACCAGCTCACGTTTCCTGAAACAAATAGAAAAACCTGTTTGTTTTTTCAAATCACTGTTTTTAATAGAGATTTTGTTTGAAGAATTGAGTAGCAGAACCACGAAGGGCATTTAGCTCTGTATAAATACTATGTTGCATTAGAACTTAATTTTTGTTTAGCAATTCATTAGAAACCATGTTTGGCAGTAATAGTTATTGCTACAGGTTATGGAGGGGGAAAAAATAGTCCAACTACCATTAAACATCTTGTTCAGAGGACAATTTTTTCCCACCTTAAAAGCTAATCAGTAATGGAATAGGACAAACACATTATATATTGCATCCATTTGCAATCTGGTAAATTCCCTGCCCTCCCTCCCATCCCCTTTTTTTATTTTACTCTGATACTCAATGCTGCAGAATTTAGATACCAAAGGTATTCAAAATATTCAGGTTAGCCAGCCAAAATATGCAGCACATTCCGTCTTTATTCAAATAACATTCAAATAGAATGCCTTTGTTGGCACACATGTGCATACATACACAAACCACACACAGACTTCTTTTGGCATTACAAAATTTAAAATTCTCTAAATGAGAAGTCCAGGGTATCACAGTCCAAAAAACACACCCACCTCTTTTGGCAGCTTCATGCAATGGATTATCAATGGACTCAGCTTGTTCAGCCACTGAAATGAGACACACAATAAATTCTGATCAGTTTCTCATAGTAAAGATTTTTGTATTTCATTTTTTTCAGACTCTTGATAATTAAGTCCGAGAGGCTAGTGTACAGAAGTAGATTTTGCATTTTGTTCTGATGGTGCTAAGGTTAGTGGTCTTCCTGTCTCTTGTGGAAGTGGGTTCAAGAATGATGGGTTAGTCACTGAGACTGTTCTACTTCCTGTGCACATGAGCTCAATTCAAAAGAGGCTGTGGAAGCTAGAGGTCCCAGGATGAAATCCTGACCCTGTTGGAAATCTATGGCAAAATTACCTCTAACTGCAACTGGGCCACAATTTCACACATGGTATTTCTTAGCCTAATGTGCTAAGCTTGTGAAGTGACTGTAATGGTTGACCACCAGCATCTAGTGATCTGCACTCTGAAGCTCACATTTCCTGTGAGTGTTCTTTCTAGCTAAGACTTGGAATGGGGAGGAAAGCATTGACTGGTGCTGGTGAAGATCAGAAGGTGATGAGGGGTGCGCTCCAGAAGGCCAGGGTGAAGCATGTGTGTTTGGTTTTCCCGGGCCCTATGCTGTTGCTGTGGGAAGTGGCAAAGCTAGTGAAACTCCACAGCAGAGCAGCAGGGAGTTGGTTTGCAAATGGAATTATTCTCTTTGGAAAAACTGAGGTGCAAGCATTAGGCAACTTTGAGGACGTGTCCGTGGTATTCATGTCAGTGGTACTCTGAAGAATGTGGTGGTAGGGGTCCCTGCTTTACATGAAAGGATTTTAATTCCATTGTCAAATCCCCTGCGCTATCCAGACCTTCTTTGAGTTTTCCATTTATGATATCACCCAAACAGTGGTTTATAATTGCACTGTTTCATATGTTGAAGTACTTGATTAATCCTGAACAAAGCAAAAATGCAAATCCGAGATTCTTTGATTATGCACACAAATGCTGTTAAACAATTAATATATGGAGGGAAAAGCAGAATTTGATCACTGTATCTTAGCCACTCTGCAAACAGAATTGCTTAATTATACAGTACACTAAAAGCACTATACAATGTGAAGTAGAACTCTTCTTTTTATTCTATATGGATTGTACTTCTCTCAGAAGACTGAATTTCTTTCCCATTATTTCGTACTATTGCCAAATGGCAATTTTTCCCCTCAGTTCCTTATGATGGAATTATTGTGGCACTTAATATCTCCCTATTATCAGTATTGTCAAATTTACATTGGTTTTCAGTTTGTGCTTCTGCAGGTCAAGCAGATGGAGCACAAGATCATTGGATAGGCATGCTTGCTGTATCAGGGCATATACCCTGAATTGGACCTCCTGTAACTTGTGTCTCATTTATCCATACTAAGTTTACATCAGAGTTCAGGCCAATGTACTGTGCCTCAAAGTAGCTTAGGGATGGGGTAAGGCACCATAGAACAGTTTCAGCAGGAGAGACTGAGGGATCCCCACCTTAGAATATCCCATAGTACAGTGGTTTGAGCACTCTCTGGAGACGTGTGAGCCCCCCATGTTCAAATCCTCCCCCCGCCCCGTGGCAGAGAGGTGAGTGATGTAACCACTGGGATAAAAGTTATAAGGTGGGCACCACCTCCCACTGGATTTTGAATGGGACCCGAGCTGGCAGGCAAGCTCAGAGGCTGCAACTCAGGTGGTAGCTGAAGAAGAAAAGACTTTGAGGAACTGGTCAGCACCATCGCAGTATGTCATGAATTTGTCACCAGGACACTGGATTGTTGCAGCTCACTCTACCTATGGTTAATTAGGACATTCATAAAGAAGTCACCGCTGGTAAACAAAACAGCGGTCCATTTTCTAAGCAGAAAGAGGCACAGGAAGCCCAATATACTGGTACTCTGCAATTTGTATTAGCTCCGTATTCATTATTAGAGCCACCTAGAGATTCTGGTATTGATTTATAAATCTCTTTAAAGCAACAGGCTTATGCTATCTCAGACATCTTCTCAGAGCCACCACAGCAGTTGATTGTCAACCACTATGTATTTAAAAGATACTGTCACAGAGTGACTTGCCCCTGCAAGAAAGGGAGCAGGATTCAGTGCACCTCGACTGATTACCTGCTGCCCAGTTGGACTTTAAGGGGAGGCACCTGGACTTTACAAAGGAGGAGACAGCTTCAGATGGGTTGTCAGATGCCTGCAGGCACTGCAGGGAGTAAGAAGGCTCCTGAAGGACCCTGAGTTAACAGGGAGAAGGCCTAACTCCAGGCAAGAGGTGCTGGAAACACAGGAAGACAAACCCTCAGGGAGGAAGGGCTGTGCCCAGATTGTGATTGGGGAGAAAGAAGGGAAGTTTAAAGAAAGGACAAACATTCATGGATGAAGACTGCGTAAGCTTGAGTTCTGTTTTTAAAAGACTTTGTGCAGGATTTAATAAATTGAACTGCAGGAGGGGATTTTTTGTTTTGTTTTAATATCTAAACTCTGTAGACCAGTGGTTCTCAACCAGGGGTACATGTACCCTTGGAGGTACACAGAGGTCTTCCGGGGGTATGTCATAAATGTAAAGGGAAGGGTAAACACCTTTAAATCCCTCCTGGCCAGAGGAAAAACCCTTTCACCTGTAAAGGGTTAAGAAGCTAGGATTACCTCGCTGGCACCTGACCAAAATGAACAATGAGGAGACAAGATACTTTCAAAGCTGAAAGGGGGAGAAAAACAAAGGGTTCTCTCTGTCTGTGTTTTTGCTTTTGCGGGACCAGAGCAGGAATACAGGTCAGAACTCCTGTAAAGGGCTAATAAGCAATCTAGTTAGATATGTGTTAGATTCTGTTTTGTTTAAATGGCTGATAAAATAAGTTGTGCTGAATGGAATGTATATTCTGTTTTTGTGTCTTCTCTTTTTGTAACTTAACGTTTTGCCTAGAGGGATTCTCTATGTTTTGAATCTGATTACCCTGTAAGGTATTTATCATCCTGATTTTACAGAGGTGATTCTTTTACTTTTTCTTCAATTAAAATTCTTCTTTTAAGAACCTGATTGCTTTTTCCTTGTTCTTAAGATCCAAGGGTTTGGGTCTGGGTTCACCTATGCAAATTGGTGAGGATTTTTATCAAGCCTTCCCCAGGAAAGCGGGTGTAGGTTTTGGGAGGAGTTTGGGAAGAAAGACATTTCCAAGCGGGCTCTTTCCCTGTTGTATATTTGTTAGATGCTTACTGGTGGCAGCAATAAAGTCCAGGGACAAAAGGTAAAATAGTTTGTACCTTGGGGAAGTTTTAACCTAAGCTGGTAAAAATAAGCTTAGGGGATTTTTCATGCAGGTCTCCACATCTGTACCCTAGAGTTCAGAGTGGGGAAGGAATCTTGACAGGGTACATCAACTCCTCTAGATATTTGCCTAGTTTAACAACAGGCTACATAAAAAGTTCTAGTGAAGTCAGCACAAACTGAAATTTCATACAGACCATGATTTATTTACACTGCTCTATGTACTATACACTGAAATGTAAGTACAATATTTAATTTCCAATTGCTTTATTTTATAATTATATGGTAATTGAGAAAGTAAGCAATTGTTCAATAATAGTGTGCTGTGACACTTTTGTATTCTTATATCTGATTTTGTAAACAAGTAGTTGTTAAGTGAGATGAAACCTGAGGGTAAGCAAGACAAATCAGACTCCTTAAAGAGGTACAATAGTCTGGAAAGGTTGAGAGCCACTGGAGTAGACTTTAAGGGAGCCTGAGTTAAGGGGAAACTCAGGCAGGCCTCTAAAAACCTCTTGGACAGAAGGAGGTGCTATAGGGCAGGGACACCCTTTGACACACATGAACACTGAAGGGGTTCCAAGGTGAGCCAGCAATAGCCTTTCAAACTCCTCCACAAAGAAGGATATCTAGAATAGTCAGTCCTACCATCACCATGTTTAGTTTTTAAGATCACTCCTTAGTCAAAGCATTTCCCAAAGAACCACAAAAAACCTGACAGCATACCAGAGTAGGAAACTGATAATTAGAGCAAGAAGTAGGACAAAAAACTTCCTGCATGTCTGGACAGTCCCACAGGTTTTGTTTTGTTTGTTTGATTTTATAACCTATATACAATGTCTACCTATGGTGGTGATAGGTACTTGAGAAATGCTGATTAAGTATTCTGATGTACTTTGATACTGGACCCTTAACTGCAGCACTGTTACCAGTGTCCAAAAAAATAATCATATCTAGTAGTTTCTACTTAGTGATATGTAAACAAAGAGAAAAATAAATTCTAGACTTTACCATAGTTGCTTGGAATAAGTCCAGTCCTGCCTTTGCAGGTTCCCTTCCACCAATTTGTGTCACTCTGGAGGGGAAGGGGGAAAAAAAAATTAAAAAACAGTCTATTGCATTTTAAACTTAGTCAGTCTACATGTGACACCGCTGCTGAAATAATGTTACTCACCATATCTGAAATGTAGATGATATCCCCTTCTTCAAAATACAACTCATCTGGCTGAAAAAACAAACATAAATATGTGTGAAGAGATAAAGCAAGTACATGAAAAGAGCACAGCACCTTTAGTTTTTGTAAAGGGAAGGGTAAATATTAAATATTAAATATTGCACCATCCAAAAATCTCCAGTGTCAAGTCAACTGCTTGATAGTCATTTACATTCTCGGCAAGTCAAGCTACTTGTACTACAAGTAAGAAATGTGACAGGCAGTACCGTATGAGGCATGTACGCTAGAGGAGGAAGCTGGTAATCTTCCTACCATGTACTGAATGAAACTATTTAAGTGGAATGGGGAGTAATTAGGTTTTTTTTTTTTTTAATTCTTCTGCACAATATATCTTTGGGCAAACTGAATCTGTCATTTATCTGTCTGTACTAATGACATGTAATCTAGTTTTAAAAAATAAAAATAGTGTGGAGAAGGAAACGCCAAAGATTCTAAGACATCTCAACGACTTGACTTTGGAAGGACAAGGTTAAAGCAGAGCAGTGTGTGAAATCTTATAGTGGGGCTATCACATCCTTATCATTAAGGTTGACAATAGCTTACTGTTTAATAGCCAATTTTCTAAATGTTCTAAAATGTACATAGTGCAAATAAATATTTTGGAAACTGATGAAGGGGATACAGGATAGGACTAGTGATCCAAATGAGATTGTTTGAGCCAAGGGTTTTCTGAGATACAGATCTCTTCTCTCCTCCGCCCCCCGGCCAAAATTATTTTAACATTAAAATAAACTTAAAATAATATTTTAACCTTTTGTGCCTACCTGGGACTCAAACTATGACTGTGATCCTCCCCAAACTGATAACCATCCACTTGGTATTGATCTCAGCTAGGGTCTGGCACCCACTGCCCAGTCGGAAAGCAATATTTAAATACTTAGTATAAAAATGGATCTACAATTTGCTTTCCAAACTGACAAGCCACAGAAAGTCATTTGTGTTTATGCTGCAGGCAGGAGCTCTACTGCAAATCCATGTTTTGTAGGTAGTGTGACATCACAGTAAATGAATGTCTCAGACATGCCCAAGTAGCACCCATGTACTAGGAGTTCAAGTGTTGATCTCGGCAGCTTACTGAGAACATGGGGTGTGGATAGTAGTTGCTCTCTGCCTGCATTCTGCAGTGGCTCCTCCTGAAAGCAAAATTCTGGTTTTAAGAGCCAATATTTCAAAGTGCTCTTAAAATCCATACTTATGCTTCAGTTGTTTTGAAAATTGCTAACCTGTAACTCTATTTCCTAGTTTTCGGAGGCGTGAGTATAACCACACTTAACATTCTGGAAGGGTACAAGGCACTGTGAATGAACTTTAATTCTGTCAGGTTTTTGGCAGTGAATTGCACTCCTATTTGCCTCGTTAACACCCTTACACCTACTCTAAAGGAGGCAGACTTCAAAAAGACAACTAACTCCTGTACTGCCCCCTTACTGATTGTAATGTAACCCTTTCTGAAAATACTCTTCTTATCCTGGGGATTCTGCCAGGGAAAGGCACCTTAAGTTCTTGGTAGGACTCCACAGTAGCCCTTCTGGCAAAGGCTACTCAGAAGATGTGCTTATTCAGCACGAGTACTAAATAGCAAACTTTTAAGGGGAGGTTTGGTTTATGTTTCTCAGCTACCAATCCAATTAACCTAATTAAATGGGGATAGACAAGGAGCACAAACTAGTAGCCCCTCAAACCTGCAACCTCGATGGAGGGGCAGAGGGTCAGCATTCATGGGAAAAGGTGTGCTGGTTTTGTTGTAAACACCAGTGGGCTACACAAATGCTCACTAACCCCCATGTTTGATTTGCATCCCAGTCCATCCACCCCCTCTGTCCTGCTGAATTTTATGCTGCCTTTGGGAGGAGGAAAAAGTAAGTGAGCCCAGTCTCAGAATCTGCTAATCCTCTATTGTGGACATATGGTACAAAGAACACACCAGAGCTCACAGCATTACCTAATAGAAGTTGCATGTAGAGGAATCTGAGCTTGAGAAAGAAATGGACAGTGAATTCTTGTTTAGTGTTGGAAACTAGTTATAGCTCTGTTAAACCAATCATTTAGTTTTTATTTATATAGCAGCGTAACAAGGCTGTTTACGCTTTTTTTACAGTCCTGATGCATTAGCCCACACAATTAGATCACTTTGTTCTATGAGTGATATGAAAACTTAAGTACTTACAGTTCTGGGTTCAAATGTATACAGGGCCCTGAACACTTTGACCTGTCCTAAAAAGAAGAAGAAAAAGCATTAACGACAGAGGAATGGGGATAGTTCTCTCTTCCTTAGGGCAGAATATATCATCAGCATTACAAATCTAGCTCAAAAAAGTCAAAGCTGCACTTCCTCCCCCAGTCGTATTATGGTTAATTTAAAATAAACAGCCCCTTATGTGTTGTTTTGTATCTATTAACTCTAAAGTCCCACAAAGGCTCTACTCCATAGTATGGCTTTCATGTCAACAGCCAGTCTGTCAGCTAAAGAGAACCTGCCTTCTGTGGAAGGACATGGGGCCCTCATCCTGCACCATTACAGTCAACTGGAGTTTTGCCATTGACTTCAACGGAGTTCCACAAAACCAGGTTCTGAGTCTGATCAAAGCCCATTGAAATCAATGGGAATCTTTCTACTGACTCCAGTGGTGGTTGGATCAGGCCTTAAAGCACCGAGGAAGGCACAGAGGAATTAAGTGCCTAACATGATGGTCTTTGACTGTAGCATTTTTCAAGCAGACTATATAAATGGGATTTACGCAGTCAGTTGTATCAGTTTTTTTCCTTCAGGAGTCCCCTTAAGTCCAGTAATGAGTTTTTTTGTTTGTTTGTTTTTTCGCATGTGCACACTACTACATCTTTCCCCTATCCACCAGATGAGTAGGGGAGATTCAGGTAGGGCTTCTGTTTGGAAATTTAAATTAAAATTTTATTCTACATTAGGATTGTTTGTTTTAAATAGTTTTAAAACTGTCAAGGCCACCCACTAGCTGGCATGGCTGCTCTTACTGCAGAGTATCAAAAATCTAAATACATAAAAACTGCAGAACAAGCTTCTATACAGACATGAAATATCCTCCACTGCATTACTTTTAGGAAAACAAAGAAGGACCAAATAAATTATAAGAGAGGGTAACTTATCAGCTGTTCAAAGAACCGTTGAAACCTATAGAATTTGCTGAAAAAACATCTTACACAGACAGTTCTGCAGTGCTTAGTTTTAAGTGCTTGAAGTTTCAATCATTAGTCCTTCCACATAGTATTTCTAGTTCCTAAAAATTGTAATGTTTCTTATGGTGAATCAGACCAATTTGCACCCAGAATATGGTGCATCATGGTGTTGTATAACTGGGAACCACATTCTATGTTGCTCATCCTCACAGGCATCCATGAACTTAAAGTTGAGGTCTGGCACTGTAAAATAAACTGTGTGCTTAAATAGCATTTTTCAAAAGCAGATCTTTAAACCAGAAGTCAAATGGGAAGAGTTAAACTATTTTCTTAGATGCATTACCCACATGCCCCCTCAGCTTCTGTAAGGAAGGATAGATATTGCTTTCTCTTCCAGTCCTGTTAGAAGGAAGCAAACTTAAAGGGGTTTTTAAAGTTGTGAGGTTTTTTTGTTTTAAATATGTTAGGCATGCAGTGATGTGTTCAAGGAGGCTGATGGAGATAGGTATTTAGCTGTGAAAGTGGTGAGACTGAGGGTCATTCTTATTTCATCTGGCAGTAAGCTCCACAGTTCTGGATTGACCTTTTTGTGTACAACACCCAGGCTCTCACCAAGAGCTATCCGGAAGCATATACTTACTGAACTCCTGTTTTTAAAAGCCTACACAGGAGTAACCTCCAGGGAAAGACATTTCTGTAGCACAGTCTTTCATAGAATTATATTTAAATGGTATATCTTCATGAATAAACTCTAAAAGCTTTGAGTTACCAGATGCATATAGGCACTTCAGGATATGACTTTTTTTCCAATACATAACTTGACCCCTTAGCTGCACCAAAACTTTAAAAATTTGAAGAAGAAAGTAATATGGGACTTGATCAGCAAAGTGAGAACTCTCACACTCACACAAGTTCTCTACAGTCATTCCTGAGCTTAGAAACATGAAAGGTTCAAAACTCTTCAATTAGGTACATCAGACCAAGTTCTTTTTCAACAGGACCACTATTTTGAGAAGTGTCTTCACAGAGGGGCACTTAACTCAGCAAGGTGTGAGAAGCGGCTGGTCCTGCCCCCTCTGCACCTGACTGACGGGGACTGAGCGTTCCGGGGGATGGAAGTGGGGGGGGGGCGCAGGCACAGCAGGAGGACAGAACCCTTTTCCCTGCTCCCCCTCCACCAGCAGGCCAATCTTGGGTGGCACTTGACCCTGCATGCCCCCCCCCCGCCCCCATGTATCACCTCTGCCGACATGCTGAGGGTCTAACCAATTTGCCATATCTAGAGTCAGGAAGGAATTTTTCCCCAGGTAAGATTGGCAGAGACCCTGCGGGGGGAGTTCGCCTTCCTCTGCAATCTCAGGCACAGGTCACTTGCTTGTTTGAGCTAGAGTAAATAGTGGATTCTCTGGAACTTGACATCTTTAAATCAGGCTCTGAGGACTTCAGTAACTCAGGCAGAGGTTATGGGCCTATTACAGGAGTGGGTAGGTGCAGTTCTATGGCCTGTGATGTGCAGGAGATCAGATTACATGATCATGAGGGTCCCCTCTGGCCTTAAAGTGTGAGTCTATCATAGAACATGTAAATGACTTGTTTAACTACTGATGCTCTCTAATCAGTGACCTGCTTCTGCTACTTAAGTTAAAGTAAACAACTGAACCGCATAAGGCCAACCTGGCTCTCTCTGGGCCTTTCTGGATTACTGCTCCCATAAAATGCTATTAGGCACAGAAACATGATGCTCATAGAGACTTCTAAGACTTCCTTTCCAACTAAGAAACTGGTTTGTTTGAAAACTATGAACAACACACACAGTTTACAAAAATGAAATCCTTAAAGGGCTTGCAGTGGCAAATTAGAAGCAGCATTTTGAAGTGCTGTGACTGTTCTGTTACAAACAAGCAAGATGAGTACACAACTTTATTTGTGTTTTATAATGTAATTTAAAAAGAAAAATATTATCACATTAGAAAAAGCATTTTTTTCCTCTGAGTAACTTGCAATTTGTTTTAATTGCAGCAGTACTAATGGAGGGCTGTTTTCAAATAAGTGCCTAGTGTTTTCCTGACAAGAGGCTACAGTTTTCTCACACTAGGGTTCTTCTAATCAGTTCTTTCCTTCCCCCAATTCCAACTCTTCTGTACCAGCCTGCAGTTTTTACATACTACCATGCAACAATCCCCTCTTCTATTACACTCACTACTAAAGCTTTCCCTGTCTTCCTCTTCTTCAGCTCCACTCCTCAAAAAAATTATCCATTATGTGTGAAGCTACTTATTTCGACATCTGAGAGAGGCTGAACTTCCGGAGAGGAAGGGGAGGGAAAGCTTTCAACTCTATTTGGTTAAAATAAGTTTTGCTTCTGAAGTAGAAGAAACACAAGTTAGCTTGGGGAGCTGTTTATTTCTTCTTTCTAGAAAATGAACATTAAAATAAAGCAATAAACTAATATTTAGTGGAGCTGGTACTTGGCAGGGTGAGTTGATGCAACTCTTCTATTAGAATTCAGGGGCCCAGTTCTCCTGTTGTAGGATACAAACAGTTCCCATTGATTGAATTATTCATATTCTCCCACAGGAAAACAGGACACCAGGGACCAGATTCTGGCTACTGCTGTGACTGTTTTGCATTGCTGTGCCAACACCAAACAGCCAGAAAACCATCTTAACTAGCTTAAAGGGATACCCTGAGTGTCATAAATCACCATCTTAGAACCTGGTGTAGGGAGATTTGATGCAGCACCTCTATGCCCTCAGACTTATTTAATTTTCTAATGGACTAAACTAACTCTGGGCTGGCTCTAGAATCATGGGCTTTGAGGTTGCCATACAGTCATCGTCATCCTTCCACCCATTAGGCTTCACTGGGCACAGTTCAAAATCTGGGAGCAGGTGCCTAGAATTGATTTGGGTAATAAGGGCTAAATCCTAGCCCCAACACACAGCATAAATATTGGATTATGCTCTAGATATTCATGGGGCTGAGGGTAGGGAAGAAAGGAATATCTTACAGGCCTCAGAACAGCACTAAATCCAGTAGCTCCTGCACGTCCCTTCTCCCAGAACTCCCTGATGAGTTGGGGACATGGATTTTGGAACAACTTGTGAGGTATTTCCATGGCAATGGAAGTAACTGGGCAGGAGAATGATTTGCCTCTAAACAAAAGGTTGTGGCAATGGGTAAGTGAGGAGAAAAGAATTAAGTGCTCTTTCCAGAGTCCCTAATCAACACTGCAGACCAGGGTGGATTTGATTTAAATCAAATCATGATTTAAATCACTAGTCAGGAAGACTCAATTTAACCATGAATTTCTACATAAAAGTGCATTCTTGTTCGTTGTTATAACCTTAATACATATTCTTCACAACTCAGAGATCGATGTAGGTTTCAATTTTTAGAAGGTACACACTATACATTTGTTAAGTGATTTATTTTGAAAACTTTTCAGATTTGTTTTACAGCAATATCAGAAAATGAATGATTGGTTATTTCATTTACCAAAGGTAATTGAAGCAGATATTTATGAAGTCATTGAGAGGTGAACTATCTCCAATTCAACAGGTTAATCATTAATATTTGGAGGATTTTCTTGCCATGCTGTATTAGAAGAACATTACCAGACAAACATTTAAATTGTTTTATATAACTAAAACAACAATATTATGTATTCTGGATTTTTTTTCCTTCAACAGCAAACATATAATATTTTAACGAAACAAGCATATGAAATTTTGAATGTATTAAACATTCATGTTATTTAAAATAGGGTTTGTTTTTGTTAAAATTGTTTAACTAAAATAGCTAAATGAATTAAAAAAAAAAAACAACCCAAAATTAAATAGACTGTCAGCCAGGTCAACACTGGCTTCTGCAGCTAACTCAGTTGTCTTCACCTTCATTTTCCTGTTTGTTCATAATCTGGAAAAGAAAAACAAGCTTTCCTCCTTTTTCAGATCCCAAACGATTTCTCAATTTGGAATGAATTAGTCCAAAGGAAGAAAATATTCTTTCTACACCGGCAGAAGAAGCTACTGCTGTTAAAAGTGAGATTATCACTTCAACAG